CCCCCCCCCCCCCCCCCCCCCCCCCCCCCCCCCCCCCCCCCCCCCCCCCCCCCCCCCCCCCCCCCACCCTTAAGACCAACCGGTCTCTGCATCAGAGCAGTAAACGGAAACAAAATATCTGGAAATTACTGTATCTAACACAAAAAAAAGAAAAACTCAAAATTAGTGTATTTCTTTGTTTCAACGAGTTTAGTTCTTGTAATTTACTACTTTCACTTGGCCGAAGTGACACAGAGTATCGTGCCTGTGTGACCGTGCAGTTGTTATTGTTCTGAGTTTTGACAGAAACTCCTTTCTATTTTTCTTTCTTTCTTTCGATTTTTTGTTCTTTCATATCATCCGATGAATCATGGCCTTCATCAAATTTGACTGCGCATGCATCTGTCTGTCTTGTAAATTTTTCGCGATTAGAGACTATACTATTTTTCTTTTCACACACCCGAGGTGGTCATCTCATGTACGATCGAAATCTTTACTCCCACATATAACCACTCAATTCAGTTTTGAGGCACGGAGCGGTGTTGAGAAGAACTAAAATCAAACTCTAAATGGAACCTCACTGGGTTTGAATAGACTTCTTTCAAATATGTACAATTTGCGAAATTTATCTGTTAACCGAAAACTAATTTTTCTTCTTAGGTTTCACTTTTGTACTTTTCAATTTGGATGTTTATATTTAGATATTTTGATGAAATGTACACATAACCGTCGATTTATTTATGCAATGATTACAAATTTATATGATACAGTAGTCGTTAAATGTTCAGTTGAAAAGGACAATGATATAAAATTTGTTTCATTTGATATTGGGGTTAATGATAAATCGACATTTGATCTTATTTGGACGTTTCTTAAAACATCACCAGAATCATTTGGCTGGACCAGAGATGACAATTTAAATATGTTTCATTATATTGATATACTCGGCCGTGGCTCTCAAGCTGTTGTTATGAAAGTTAAAATTCTCAATGATAATCAAATATATGCTCTAAAAATCACAAGAAGTAATATTGACGCGGAACATGGTATTATCAAAAGATTAAACGAAGCATCTCATAGTAAATCAGAAGGTAAATAATGAAATTTGTTTTGTTTTTTAACACTTTTTTTGAGAGTAAATAATTAGAACTATGCTAAAGTGTTCATTCATTCGTACAATGAGATGCAGATTTTCTTTTCTGTCACATTAATCGAATTTTCTGTCTCGAATTTGAAGTTTGTGTTATAACTATGCATCAGTTCAAAACTTAAACGAATGAAAGTAACTCACATAAAAAGTTCTCAGTCAATGTTGAAATATTGCTGAGTCGTAGTGTTCAATAGTCCACTATTCCGCTGTGAAAACCATGTTGTTTTCTGCTATTCACATTCTCTTAATTGACGAAGGTGAAAAAACAAGAAAAGATAGTCTGTCTGATCATAAGAATAGTTTTGGATGTTCGATGAATTGAAAACTGACTTTTTGCAATGTAAAACGAAGGTTTACTTTTTTTCCAAAATTTTATCCGTTTTACTAATCATATCCTTTTTCGTTAAATTTTAGGCAATCAAAATGTTTATTTTATAAAAAGCAAAATTGTTAATAATTGTTTGCTTATTAGTCCAGTTGGTCAATGTATTCGACCAATGAAATCATCTCAATTTCAATTTTCAGATAATGAAGAATATCAGTCATTCATACAAATATTTACCCAAATAAAGTTTTGTCATGGGCTGAATATTATTCATCGCGATATACGTAGTGCCAATATAATTCGACATGAAAAGAAGTTTTATTTAATTGATTATATGGCTTGTTCTGAACCAGGCATGGAAAGTGATTATTATGGTAGTCTAACAACCGCGTCAAATTCTATATTAAAATGTTTTATTGGTCGTGATCAAGGTGAAATAATTAAAATCAAAACATTTTTTGCTGATGATATAATTAGCCTAATTAAATGTTATTTATTAATCCGTATGGATGATTTACTAAAAAGGCAGTTAACTGCTTATATAAACGGTTGGCAGATGCGCTGCGTAATTAGTTGGTGGGAAGATGTAATTAATAGTGCTAATTCGATTATCAGAGATTTGTTAAACAAATTAGAAAATGAACGCAAAACACTACATATTGATTCTTTATATGAATTATTAACACCCACAATTGATGAATTAGCCACATTACTGTGTTCTTACTGAAATCTGATACATAAGGTTTACTGCTGCATTTAGGTTTTTTGTTTTAATATTCCTTAACTTTTCTTTTTTATTGTCTCTTCAACAACAGTGAATTACATTATGTATAGCACAATTTATTCCTTTATACGCCTGATAAAGGAATAAATTGTGCTATACATAATGTAATTCACTGTTGTTGAAGAGACAATAAAAAAGAAAAGTTAAGGAATATTAAAACAAAAAGCTAAATGCAGCAGCGAACGTTTTGTGTCAGAGTTTAGTAAGAAAATAGTAATGGGACAAATCCATCAATTGTGGGTGTTAATAATTCATATAAAGAATCAATATGTAGTGTTTCGCGTTCATTTTCTAAGTTGTTTTTACGATATGCTTCTTTTTGTCTTCTACTTACTTCGAGGTGTATATACTTTGGTAGAAGATTCAGTTGTTTTGCCAACTATAGTGGTTAGAAAGTTTAATCTGAGAAATCGAACCGAAATGTATGTAGTTCAGACTTAGTTCAAAACTTTATTTTTGATTGCTTAGTGGTGAAATTTTGATGTAATACAAGTTATGTAAGCTTTTTTATCGTTGTGAATGAGCTTTTGCTTAGATTACGCTCTTTCTCTCTCTGTTTTTTTTGCTCTCTCTTTCTCTCATGTTGCCAGTATCATAACGTCATCGTGTAGCATCTCCATGTATGTATATCGGTGGTACAGAGGAAGGAAAAATTCATAAATGCTCAAAAGCTTTATGACAAGAAAGTGGTAGGTAAATAATTTTAAGAGTGTTGAACATCTGTGAAGAATGAAAAATTATTTGTAGGCCCAGACAATAATTGGTGGGGCTGGCGGTGGACAGAGACGTGTAGGTCAGCTTTCATGAAGATCAATGGCTGCTTTGAGGGTTTGTTTAATAGCTTTTATTGTTTTCTTCTAAACAATCAATTATTGATTTTGTACGCTGTAGGATGATGGTGATCCAGATTAGCTACCTGACTTTTCATTGGAAGATGTAAGATCTGTCCGATCAGACGATCAATTGAAACTGACAGATGTTGTAATGATCCATTAGAATATTTTTTGTTTAAATAATAACTTAGCAAACATTGTGTTTCTTCTAGGAATTAAATGAAGAACATACTCGTATATTAACAACTCGCAATCCTCAAGCAGCCGAAAATATCGTTCGATTTAGTCATAAAGTACGCATATGGCAGCAACAAAAACTGTCAGTTGTTGGAAAAAATCTATTGTTTTCTAGGAACGAATGTACTAATAAATACTGTTCTATTCATTAATCCAACAAAACACCAGAAGTATCCGATTCATTTTGTATAACAGCTAATACGGTTGCCAATAAATCTGACATACCTTGACTATAACCTATTGTTGGACAATAGAAAGCGTAATTCATCAGAATATCTCTAATAATATGGAGACACTTTTAATAGATCTGTAGACACCACGGGTTACACACAACATACTTCATCACTTGTAAATTTGGATTTTTATCTCCTTTATAGTATGGATTCGAACGATCAGTTCTCACAACATCTTTTTCTATAATTCATTCCACATCATGAGTAAATTGCAGTTGATCGGGATCATTCGCTGCTAAATCTCTACAAAAATGTAATCAAATTGTTTTATATTAAATGACCAATAAAACAAAGATAACTTTGTACCTTTTTGCTCTAATTTTTTGATATTGTAAATATTTCTGATGACAAATTGTTTCTCGTTGTTCATAAGTTGAATCAAACGGATACAAATGCAATTAAAATGACCAAAGATTACGAGATATCGAAGAATCAATACCCGCCCAAAAAATTGACTAAAGTTAAAAATATTGTTCATTAACGAAAAAAGTAAAGAGTATGTTATTTTTTAACTTTTCTTAGTTGATAATTATCCTGTATCTCTCCATGTGCACTGAAATATGTTTTCCAAACATCGGTCGTTATTAGATGATAACAACCTTCTTCTGGATGTAAATCAGTTAAATCGATTGTGGGATGAACAACATTAAATTGATGACAATTTGAAAAACCAGCTTTTGCCTAAATAAAGAACATTAATATTAATAAAAAATCATTGTATAACTCATCGAACTTAACGGTTACAAAATACACAAATAAAGAATACGTAAACAAAAAAGTGAAAACCAATTATAACTATTCCGCTTTCTTCATCCCTCTGACATAAGCCTCTTTTCGTCTCACAACATCCGATCTAAATAAAATTTTCGAAGAATAAGTGTCTTATCCTAGAAAGATGACACTAAACATTTAATCCTCAAATATTGATTTCAATAGAGACGGGGTTTTTCACATTTCTTTTTATTTAGTTTTTTCGAAGCTTTTAAGAAAAAAGTTTCGACTAACTTTTCAAAACTTTCATGTTCCGCAAGAACTAGATTGAAAAGCAAAATCCAGCTCGGACAACTTGTAATGGCAAGCCTTCGCTACCTTTTGAGACCACAGCGACCAATCGCCCTAAATCTTTGCCGCTCGAAAAGATACAACTCAAAACAACGATTTCAAGTACAACGTCATGCATTTTATGAGGGTTATATAGAAATAAAACAACATGTTTTTCCTGAAGAAATCGGTGTTTCTCCTCAAGAACTTCATGTTTTTTACTGAAGAAATTGGTGTTTCCCCAGAAGCGGTTCATATTTTTTCCAGTAGAAATCTATGTTTCTACACAAGAACTTCATGCTTTTCACTGAAGCAATCGTTCTTTCTCGTTCATGGTTTTTCCTCTAGAAATCGGTGGTTCTCGAGAAGAAGTTCATGTTTTCTCCTGCAGGAATTGATGTTTCTCCACACGAACTTCATGTTTTGTCCTGTAGAAATTTCCTCTACAAAACGGTGTTTCTACACAAGAACTTCATGCTTCGCCCTGTACAAATTGGTATTTCTCCACCAGAACTTCACGTTTCTCCTCAAAAACTTCAAGTTTTATCTGGAAACAATCGATGTTTCGTCACAAGAACTTCATGCGTATTCCTGCAGTAATCGGTGTTTCTCTACGAGAACCTCCGGTTTTTTCCTGTACAAATCGGTGTTTCTCGACTTAAAGTTCTCGTGGAAAAACACCGATTCCTACAGGAAAAAACATGAGGTTCTCCTGGAGAAACTAGGGATTTTTACGGGAAAAAACATGAAGTTCTTCTGCAAAAAGAAATTAAGTTCGCGTGGAGAAACACCGACTAGCGTAGAAAAAACACAAAGTTCTTGTGGAGACACACCGATCACTACAGGAATACGCATGAAGTTCTCATGCAGAAACACCGATTACTGTAGGAAAAAACGTGAAGTGCTTGTGGCGATACACTGATTTCTACAGAAAAAACCTAAAGTTCTACTCCAGAAAGGGCGTTTTCTACAGAAAGAAGCGTGAACTGCTTGTGATGAAACCCTATCTACTACAGGAAAAAGTATAAAGTTCTTGTGGAGAGACACCGATTTCTACAGCAAAACAACATGAAGTTCATCTGAAGAAACATCGATTTGTACGGATAAAAGCCGGTTTCACAGGAAAAACTAAAATTCATGTTTCTCCACAAGAACTTCAGGTTTTTACCTGTAGTTTTAGAAACACCGATTTCATCGGGAAGGAACATGAAGTTCTTGTGGAGAAACACCAAATAGTAAAGGAAAAACATGGAGTTGTCGTGGAAAACCAGGGATGACTACAGCACAAAACATGAGGTTCTCGTGGAGAAACACTGATTACTGTAGGAAAAAACATGAAGTGCTGGTGGAGAAACATTGATTTCCACAGAAAAAACATAAACTTCTTCTCCAGAAAGGGCGATTTCTACAGAAAGAAGCGTGAAGTGCTTGTGGGGAAACCCTGTCTACTACAGGAAAAAGCATAAAGTTCTTTTGAAGAGACGCCGATTTTGGTCGGATAAAATAGTTCTTGAGGAGAAAAGCCGGTATCACAGAAAAAACTAAAATCCATGTTTCTCCACAAGAACTTCAGCTTTTCACCTGTAGTTTGGGAGAAAGACCGATTTCATCGGGAAGAAACATGCAGTTCTTGTGGAGAAACACCGATTACTGTGGGAAGAAACATGAAGTTCTTGTGTAGAAATACTGAATAGTATAGGAAAAACATGGAGTCCTTGTGGAAAAACAGCGATGACTACAGGAAAAAATACGAAGTGCTGGAGGAGAAACACTGATTTCTACGGGAAAAAACATGAGGTTCTCGTGGGGAAACGCCGGTTTCACAGGAAAAACTAAGATTCATGCTTCTCCACAAGAACTTTCTAGCTACTACAGGAATAAAAATAAAGTTCTTGCTGAGAAACACCGACTTCTACACGAAAAAACAAGAAGTTCATGTGGAGAAACATCCATTTTTTTCTTCAGTTCTTGACGAGAAAAGCCGGTCCCACAGGAAAAACTAAAATCCATGCTTGTCCACGAGAACTTGCTTTAGTAATCAGGGTTTCTCCACAAGAAGTTCCTCTCTTTCGTGTAGAAATTGGTCTTTCTCCATAAGAATTTCATGCTGAAGAAAATCTATCCTGAAGAAATCGATGTTTCCTCGAGAACTGCATGTGTCTCCCTCTAGAAATCGGGGTTTCGCGACAAGAACTTCTTTTTTCCTGCAGAAATCGGTGTTTGTGCCCAAGAACTACTCCTGTAGTAATCTACGTTTCTTCACAAGAACTTGTAGTCAGGGAAATACCGATTTGATCTCGAACAAACATGAAGTTCCCGTGGACAAACATGAAGTTCCTATGGAGAAACATCGATTTCCTCGGGAAAAAACATGAAGTTCTTGTAGTGTAACACCGACTGCTACAGGAGAACTCATGAAGTTCTCGTGGAGAAACACCGATTTCTACGGAAAAAGCATGTTTTTTTCCATAGAAATCGGCGTTTCTCAAGAAGAACTAGAGGCTTCTTCCTTCACTTTCTCCACATGAACTTCGTGGTTTTCCTGTAGAAATCGGTGTTTTTACCGAAGTCTACCTATTTCTACTGGAAAAAACAAGTTTTTGTGGAGAAATATCGTTTACTACAGGAAAAAATATGATCTTCTTCTCGAGAAACAGCAATTTCTTTAGTAAAAAACATGAAGTTCCCGTGGAAAAACACCGATTGCTGTAGGAAAAAACATGAAATTCTTGTGGAGAAACACCGATTATCGGATTAATGTGACAGAAAAGAAAATCTGCATCTCATTGTACGAATGAATGAACACTTCAGCATAGTTCTAATTATTTACTCTCAAAAAAGTGTTAAAAAACAAAACAAACATCATTATTTACCTTCTGATTTAGTATGAGATGCTTCGCTTAATCGTTCGTTAATTCGTTTAATTTTTGCCTATTTTCATCCAAAATTAAACAATTCATAACTCAACTTTTTGATGAAAATAGCCAAAAATGGGTTATTTTACCTAGTATAGATTTTCACTCGGTTCTTGCATTTTGTTCTGTAGACTAACACTGCTACAAGATTCAGCGTAACTGGCAACCTATGTTTTCATGCATTTCTAAAGGTTCCAAAACGAATACAGAACTCCCAAGGCTTCGGGAGAAACATCCAAAGCTCCCTAATCAAGCAAACGGAGCAAAATGAAAGTTTTGTTTAAATCTCATTTTGTAGAAGACACTTTGGACTATCTATCTATGAAAAAAATCGATAGATTACTATGTAAAATGTTTGACTTAGAAACTGGTTTTGTAGAAAACATCTGAAAAACCGATTTCAGAAATTTGTTTAAAAAACAGGTCTGCTTGTAAAAATATTGATTAAACTTTCTTCTTTCGACTGCCGAAAGGGCAAGTCTCTATCTTTGCTGTTTATTCGAAAAGCCTGTAATTTACCGTTTGAAATGAATAAAACTGTGTCGGAATCAATGCGGATGGAAGATCGTTTTGAAGGCATAATGCAGTTTACTTTAATAAATATTTATCTAAAAGAAATAAGAACTCGGTGAAAGAAACTTCTCACATGTATAGTGCTTGATATTAAATTTAAGTAGCGAAACGCGGGACGTGGTAAAAGAATCCTAGTACTGGTTCTGATTTAGTTAAGCACAAGGAATGTTGCCGACCCCACTCTCTTGAGTCATCAGGGCTTACATTTTGAATATGAATCGAAGCACAAACGTGGCTTTTCCTCGATGGACAACAATCAAAAATGGCCGTAACATACGCATGCGCAGATCTTAGATCACATGCATCATCAGAAAACCTAAATTAGACGAGCTTGGAAATATAAAGGGGCAACCATCTGAGCGTGCTGTAGCCATAAATTCAGTTTCTACTCAGACTCTCTGTAATATATACATAGTCAGCCAAAAACGTTATTTTTCACTTAAGAGTCTGAATTAACAATCGGTCCTGCTCCTTTCACACAAACAATGCCAGCAATCTTGACGGTGTACTCTGATTTCCTTCAATTTATTCAGGATATATTTAATTTTACAAAATTTCATACACGTAATGCCATATCGGATAGTTCTTCCGGATAAGGATCACGACATGGATGAAAATAGCTAAAAAATCACATGGATTAGAAAACTATTGAACATATCGTTTTTCAGATAGAGAGAAAAAGAGTCAAACACGGCAAGTTTTTTGACATACACGATTATCTTCTAGAAGAAAACGTGTATTTTCCTCTTCTAACAGACTAATAAAACATGCTAAAACATACCTTTGAAATTGACTATTAATATCTTTTTTGTCAAATTTATTTTGTTCTTTATGTTTCAATGCTTTATCTTTACATAGATCCAAATATTTTTTACTATCTTTGAATGATGCTTGATTTAATATCAGTAATGATTTTGGCACACATGAAAATGCTCCAAATGCAATTAGACGATAATTAGACGCTAATATGCGTCTTTCACGTGATCAAACCTTCATTTGCCATGGATTATGATCAGCACTAAATAAATGTTCTAAAATACGACATGTAAAACATGTACCAGGCTCATTTTCTTGTTCACCATTATAGTACGTGGACAAACGGCATGGACTGCGTCAAAAAGCGATTTTGGTCACTGGAATTGATTGGATGGAAAGTTCACAGAAATTCACTTTCGAGTTTTTAGTCATAAATCCAAAAGGTCACCTGGATTCTTCCAGTCAATTCTGAGAAAACTCATATAGAGGGCGGTGTTTTGCTTTTTTCTTTCAGTG